ATCATGTGTTCACTTACACAACGTCCAGTACACTCAGTGCATAACTCTTGAACAAAAAATCTTTCTTACCAGGATAGGCCCATGATTTTGTGGTACATTCATGGACAAAAGAAGTCGAACCAGGGCTACACCAACAAATGATTTTCCAGTTCCTGGTGGGCCCTATTATAATGAATATTGAAAACATATCGATCAGATTGTCAAGAAAGCCTTGCATTTCAGGAGAGAAAGAGTAGAGAGAGGAACGAGGTCTTAACTACCTTAAGCCAATATGATTTTTAATAAATTCCTAACTTCCCTCTATTACCTCACAACAAAATTCAACTTCGAAGTTAGTGACAATGAAAGATATGACTATGTGCTGTTTTATCTTGTAAAGAGATTGCCCATGAAAGCACCTGCGCACAACAATTTTGTTGCAAGTCATAGAACAAACAAGTACGACAAAACCAGACTTGACTTGGATAAAAATTACGTACCTGTAAGTTGCATCACTTANGAAACAACATTCCACGGAAACTTAACTGCCTTGGCAGGTTGATCCCTTGCCGCTATAGTTAATTTCGCGTTCGTTCCGCGCAGTAAAAAAAAAAAATTAAATTATCAGGAACAAAAGCCAAAACTAGTTAATTGCCTTTTTAAGCAGTAATCAACAGATTCCACTGCTAATTGGAGGGTATGGGGATAATGAAGTAAAAAGATTGACACCTGATGAGGTGAAAATTTTCTGGGAATGGGAGGCATCAATTTCATTGACGTGACAATATTTTGGAGTCCTTTCACATATTTTGGGAAAGTAAATAAAATTAATAACAAGGATCGAGAATATATTTTCAACACACTAAGCTGTGCTAGTGAAATATCAGATTTAGCAAGGTAAAAGAATTTTTAACCAGCCAAATTTTTCACTAGTCATGTTCTCGGTACAGTATAATTTCTGCAAGCCTCCCTATATCCATTTTGCTCAAAAGATCTGTTGGTATTGCAGAGGTTACATAAACTGAATTTGAGATACATGTATATACCTTTCAACATTCCCAGTTCAGCTCTTACATTTGCAATAATTGCAAAATAATGACAACTGTGCAAACTTCGATTTTGATCAAATACATGCATTAATAGAATAGGCCACTTCCGAGTTACCTTGTGCCTCTGTGTCACAACGAGTCTACGTGCAAAACCATTCATATGAAAATGCGTTCCGCCTACAGGTTTATTTTCATGGAAATCAAACTCATTTTCATAGGAAAGGTTTTGCACTTGGACTCGTTTTGAAACAGAGGCACGAGGTAACTCGAAAATGGCCTATTGCTGTTTTTCACTAACCAAAGCGGCTAGTAGCATTACAACATCTACTTTCCGAATCTGGACTTTAATTAGTTTGTGACTAGTTGGCTACCACTAGTCTCAAGTCCAGTGACAATGGTCTGATAATGGTCTCTAATACTATGAATTAAACTAAAGTACTGGCAGTTGAATTGTAACCTGGATTAATGCCAACTTTTTCTTTAGTGCAAGTTCAACTGCTTCAAGTTGTGTGTCATCAAGCTCTGCTTTGCAGTGGCCTTTCAATTGATCAAACTCCTCCAGTAGTGGGTACGATTCATTGTCCTCATGGTGGCTACAGTCAGGTAAGTGTTCCTTTTTAAAAATTATTCCCCAGTCAGGCTGTTGTTTTATTTCATTTATGTAGTCTGCTGGTTTCATATTGCCTCCATTTGTCTTTGGATAAACTAAGAATTCTTTAAATGGAACACAATCTATAACAGCAAAAAGCAACGTTGTTAAAATTATTATTTTTATTTTTTTGAAGCATTCATTACTTTGCCTTGATATGTAACATATTTGCAGTAGGGGCGGAGGGTAGGGGAAGTTCAAGATCAAATTTTAATACTGGTTGATCCAAATCTCTTTGTGACTTCTCTACAACTTTTACTTACTACTAGAGTAACTGCAGGAAAAAATAAATTGGATGGAATGGCATCTTCTCCTGTTACACCACATTAGCTAGTTTCATTTTGTCCATTATTATTTCTGACTGAGGTTTTCTTCAGGGGTTCAGTCAGAACTATAACTGCCAAAAGAGATCGTCTTAGCACAAACATGAAAATAGAAGACTAAACTTCAAACAAACAAACCTGTTAATGCAAGGGGTAATTTTTTCACCATCTAATTGTATACAACTCTACCTATGTATCTAAGGAAATAATAATAATAATAATAATAATAATAATAATAATAATAATAATACTAATAAGGATTTACCTTTATGCCTCAAAACATCCATAGCTGGGGCATAAGAAGTGTAAAATGTTTGACTTTCTGCCATGAATGACTGCTCATCTACAACATAATTATGATGGCAAGATATTTTCAACTAAATGTAGATTGCAGTACACGAATTGTGATTTAACATAGGTCAAAATATTAACACCATTACACCAGCCTACCAATTTAAACGGCCCTATTCAGGCATACCTTTGTTTTTGTTTACATGT